GAAGGAGAATTTAGACGCAATAAGTGGACCGATAAATGATACAACATCATTCCACGACTGACAAAATTGTAAACACATGGAAGCCGATTTTGGATCACCAGTAACTGGAGAAGGTCGCAACTCGTCATGTGACGAGTTTTTTTTTCCAAAAAAAGTAGGAGTTTTGTAACAACAAAAACAGGAATATTCGAGAAAACAGGGATATCGTAACAGTTGCAGGGTTTTCGCAACGAAACAAGAGGGATTTAGTAATAACGTATGTACTAGTTAGACTTCATTTACATATAGGAATTACATGGATTTCGTAACAAATTGTACATGGTTATCGTAACAGCAAAAATAGGATTTTTCACGATATATTTCAAAGGACGTGCGAGTGTCAAATCAGGGCTGTCGTAACGAATGTTACACGGAAGACATAACCGTCCATACAGGGTTCTCGTATCAGAAAAGCATACCGTGTTTGAATTAGCTGTGTAAGGTTATCGTAACGAAAGATTAGGATTGTCGTAACCAATCCTCTTTTTTCTTTATAAGAAGGTAAGACTCGTTGAACACAGTGAAGTATTTAACTTATTTTACTTACTTTACTTAACAAAGCAATGGTAGAAAACGAATAACATAGAAGATAATCCTTATTGACTAGTGCACAGGTATTGAGACATGTATTGAATAAGTTATTGAAATAGGAAAAAATGAATACTAATTAACATGTTCTTCAAAAATATATGGGCAATTTCATTTGTTAGGGATGTGACTTGGCAAAATTAAAATGTGTATATCTCTAGATAACAAACTCCTATAGGGCTGATTTTTTTTATGCCATAGACATATTGAGTTACTCTAGCTAGCCTGAAAAATTCAGCTGTATAGCCCTTGGTTTAGAAAGGTTATCACCAAAAAATAGCGTTAGGGGCGTGACCAAAAAAAAGACATCGATTTTCGCTGAATGCATTTCACTTTAAAAAATCTGCAGATTGAAAGAGTATGTTTAGAAACGAAATAGTTTACTCTATAGAAGACACTTGAGGCTACAAAATCTGTATTCAAAGTTTTTTCTGATCATGTTCAGATTTTTCAAAAAATTCAGTTTACTTTTCGTTAGGGACGTAACAGAGTACGAATCGACTATTTTTGATGCTTTCATATTTATGCAAACGTTCAATCATTTACTGTGAAACTTAGGACTCCTATTCTTCCAAGTATGCTCTCTAGTAAATCATATAAAAGAATTATATTATTTTCTATTAAGGTTTCTAGAAAACGAGATTAAAAAGGAAGGGGTTTTAACAGAGTTTTTTAAGGAAAAGCAGGCAAATTTACGTAATGTAGGAACAACTCTACTAAGACTGGCTTTCTAGTTTTTGCAACTATGGAAACGAAAAAATAACATACTTTTTTTTATAAACTGAAGACAATAGTTGGTAACTACGCCAAACTTTCGAAGCGTAGTTTCGAATTTTCGAAAAAATGAGTTTGTCCCATTTTTCGTGAAATTGCCCATATACACATTTATCTATATGAAAACAAAAAAGAACAAATAGTATCATCTAATCTATTACAGTCATTTTACAAAAAAATTTATACAAATATTATTTCTGCGAAAAAGCCTGATTTGTTTGGTCACGATAGTTCTGATTTTTTGTTACGAGAGTCCTGTAGCTACAAACTATCAATGCGCTACTTCTACAGTGCGATGGCCTTGTAATAACAGTTACGATAGCCCTTTACTTTTCGTTACAACAGCCCTGTATTGTCAGTTGTATTCTTCAGTAAAATATATTACGACAGCCCTGTATAATGGGTTACGATAACCCTGTAAAATTCATTACGAAATGCCTGTAATTGATGACGTGATATTCTGAAATGGCACATATCAAACCACCGGTTACAATCACCCTGTAAAATTCGTTACGATACCTCTGATTTTTTGTTACGAAAGCCCTGATTGTGTCGTTACGAAACCTCTGTTACGGGCTTTCGTACTGTCCATTTTTTACAAAAGTTAGAAGGAAATAAATGCGGAAACCTCGGATTTAAATCCGAGAGTTATGTGTACTTCAAAAAGTGAATGGGACAGATGAGTCATCCTAGAATGTGTGGACATCAAAGTTATCCTGGCAAACCTTTTCTATAATACGCTTGATTTCTATTGGCTACTGCTCAATCGATAGGATTTGGAGACGAATAGGGCTCAAATTTGAACTCTTCGCCTTGATTTACCCTAAGAAAGTCGGTTTTCCTATAACTTGATTTCTATTGGTCACTGCTCAACCAATAGTATTTCGAGGCAAATGGAGCACAGATTCAAGTTCTCCACCCCAGAAAACCTCGAACTATCATCTCCATGATCGGAAGATAGAGCCCTAAGTGTGGATCAATTAGATCGTGGACAAAAACATAACCTAGTTCTCTTTAATTATGTTTGCGATAGGTGAGTCAACCTTCTTGTTTCTTTATGTTTTATATACCATTTTGTAGCTCTTGAAATTCTCTATCGAATGGTATATAATAGTTGGGGTTTTAGTTGACTATGACAGGAAAAGTTGTTTACAAAAGCGGGAATGGGTCGATCTTTCCATAGGGAAGGTATAGGGAAAAATGAGTATTTTTGCAATAACTCAGGAAGGGCTCGGCCAATCCTTCTCATCTTCGAACTCGACCGAGATATTGTTAAGACTGAAATGTGTAGAAAATTTCATCGCGATCTGACTCTCCTTTCAAAAGTTATCGAATAAACGGACGGACGGACGGACACACTGACCGATTTTAGTAGTGTACTCACTTTTTGAGTACACAAAAAACGTGACGAGTTGCAACATTCCCAATAATTGTAGTGTATGAATTGGCGGATGTTTCTAATGAAGCAACACCACAAGCAATGACAAAAGTACAAACAATAAAACCATCAAAAACTTGTTTAGGATTATTTGATTTAGAATGATGAGTAGTTGGCTAGAAAAAGACTTGCACCCAAGGCTAGAGAGCTAAACTTATGGCGATGGTAATCTCGTAACCTTTAAGTTTGAATAATTCAGCAGCGATCGGTGAGAAACAAAGATAACCACCACCAAAATAGATAATTTGTGGTGTAGTCGCTGCAAGTTTTATAATTTTAAGAACATTTTGAGAAAGTGTTTGTTTAAGATATCCAGAAGACTGTATGAAAAACTCCAGAGGAAGAACAATGAAGTGGCTAGAAACAGTGAAAATATAAGTTGACGATCTTTATAATACGACTGATTCGATGAAGAATTTGGAAGGACTGTACCACCAGCCATTTTAGCTGTTTATATAATTGTCTAAAGACGAAAATTAGAATAATCAAATGTCTCTCTGAGCATGTACAACCATCAGTAGATCAAAATACACTTTATACGAGACACTTTGATGATATAAAATTGTTTACAATGTATATCTATATATGTATATGACGGTTGTATAAGCTCAATTACCATCACTCAAGATCATGTATATGTATGTCAGGCGACACAATTTTCTTTCATAAGATTGTGTTTAAAAAATTTTAAGTGAAGATTTCAATTTCTCACGAAAGTTTTTAATAGCAAACGTAAAAAGATATATTCGTAAAAAGAAGAAACCTGCGAAGGAAATACTCTTAAGGACTTGACTCGATTCTTCAACAACAAAGCAATCGATCACGATCAATGTAAATAAACATACGAAATACTTAACTTAATCTTTCGAAAAATAATCTTTTGATAGTATCACATAAGTAACCAAAATACTTCAACGAGTGTATTTTTTAATAATGACATTAATTGTAGACAATAAAATATTGTCTCTATTTGAAATTGCATATTATTTTGTGTGAAAGTTCACGAACTTTTGAGTTGTCCAATCAATAATAGTTGTTTGTTAATTAGAAGATGATGTAAAAGCCAATTTATGAGGTTATTCTCAGATTTATTCAATATCAATTATCGTGCAAAACTTCTTGAAAGCATTAAGCACTTTATTGACTCAGTTGTCTCGCAAAATGAACTCTAAACTAATATCCATTTCAAAATAAACGAAGGGCGAGTATTTTTTGAATAAATTTTGATAGGAACAAGATAGAGACCTATGGTTATCACCGTTTGAAGAAGCAATAGAACAACGTCGAATCGCATATGTCAGATTCTTCTGTCAAGTTTTTTTCAATGTCCATTGTCATTTTTTTTGGAAAAAATGAAGCTTTTTCGAGATGGATCAAGTCGACTTTTTATGAAAAAAATATTAAAAAAGTCAATTCTTTTTTTGGAAAAATCGGCTGAGAAGACATAGTAAGATGTCTTTAACTCATGATTAGTTAAAGCTAATAGCGTCACGATTGCATAGTTGATACATCTTTAGTTCATGTATTTAGTGGAATCCTTAAAAATCAAAAACACGAAATTTCAACATGTTGAAATGTTCGATTTTTTGAAAACTTGTTCGAAAAGCCGAGTAAAACGTGCCAGAAAATCTGATACGTAGTTTCATCACTCTTTCTAACAGTGAAAACCGAAGATCTCTGTCATGTTCCTATCCACAATTATTTAAAAAATATCCACCCTTCGTTTATTTTGAAATGGATATTAACAACAGTTTCTGCTAATTTTTTTTTGATAAGTGTTGCTCTGGAGAGATGTAGAGTTCTCTACTATCCACACTATTTCGTCATCGCAACATGTATTTAGACCAGATGTGAACTTTTCTTTTATCATTAATTTTCTTTCGAATATGCAAAACATCAATAAGTTAAAAACGAAACAAAAACTAAAGATCGAATAGATCAAAGTTAAGAAATAATCTTTAAATATGAACGACGTTTTTCGTGCTTTTTAAAATAAAAATTTATGCTACATTGTTGCATATGATGCCGATTCTGTATCGATGGTCGACTATTTTGAAATTGTTGATTTCATTGTGGTACAGCGATGATTAGTCGAGGACAATTAATCCTCAGCTCAATACCTGCTTCTTTGAGAATATGAGCTGAAGCTAAGCAAGGGGGTTTAAATATATTCATTCGATAGTCGAGCTAATTCATGACACCACGTACGTACAAAAATGCCATTTGGATCATAATCAAATGTTTGTTTAACCATATTAAAATATCGATTTTCTCTTGGATCAGTACCAACATCAGCTACATATATCGAATTTTCATAATTAGAACAAACATCATGATCAATTAGAATCGATTCAAATCATACAGTTCTATATCGCCAATCAATACCAAGATCTTTTCTAAGATAATCTGCAACATTCTGTCTGCTTCGATTTGACATCCATCCAGTAGTCATAATATCACGCATATTAGCATTGACAAATGGAACACCGATATTACCAGTTCTCTATGCTTTGAATTGTTTTAAATCATGTATCCATACGTATGATTCTAACTTGAAACCATGTCCATAGAAAAGACGTGTACCATATTTCATAGCAATAAATTATAAAAAATTCCGCCAAAATAATTCAAATACAATCCAATAACTAGCATCAAGTATACCTTGTTCATTTTCATATTTTTTTAATTCAAAAATGATTTTTCATAGAGATAAAGATCCATTTGATAACCATGCAGAGAATTTAGTTGTATTTTCTAGACTAGTTAAACTATTTCGTATTTGTTTGTATGATTTAACTAAATTTTTATTCCAAATATAATTATCTAGATGAGCAAGATCAGATAATTCATCACTATTAAATATAAATACACTACTAGAATGCATTGTCACATTGGAAATATCCAAAATCTGATAGACTTGGTATAAATCTGGAAACACTAAGATCTGGTAATGCTTTGAAAGTATTTGGAATATTAATCAGACGTCGTAATTGAATACCTTGTTTTTCTAGTGCTACTCGTAAATGAGTATAAATATCTGGAAAAGCTTTTGAATTATTATAAGATAAATCATCAGGATGATACAATGTCGATGTTCAGAATTCTTTGACATTTACATTATTATCAGCAGCCAATTGACAAATTGTCTTTTCTACATCAATTTCTTCTCGTGTGACTTCTTGATGAAAAGTAATTGATATTTAGAAATTGTCTTGAAATTGTTGAATTAAGTGATTGAGAATATTCTCAGGTTTATCACAAGAGATCAAAAGACCGTTTCCTTTATTGTTCACCGATTTATTAAGATCTTCAGTTGTTTCAACAAGAAATTTCAACTGATATTTTTTCACATTTAACAAAATCACATTTGCATGTTTTATCTGTTATTTGTCGTGGATCACAACAATACATATGAATAACATAATCATTATTCATATGTGATATCCATACAAGCATTTCATTATCATGTAATTGTAAATGATTTCGAAATTCGAAACCAAACAATTCCAAGTCATTTCATTATTATTAGTCTCTTGGTAAGTTGTAATAAGTAACTGTTTCCTTACATCAACGACTCGCGACATCATCTTTGTTTTTACACATGCCGTGTGCTTTTTTTCGAATTAACAGAAATGGTATGCGAAAAGATGAAAACAACATTGAATAATATCCCATTGGCGCATAAGTTCTGAGCGTATTTTTTTCTGGTTTAACAATAACTTTATTTTTCAACAAAGATATGCAACATCAATCAACAATATAATCGCCATTATTTTCGACAACCTTCGCCCATCTTTCTGGCAATAGTTGAATTCCACGTCTGTAGAAACTACCCGGTTTTGATTCGAAAAAGGCAATTAAATCGGATTTCAGCTCATCGAAGTCTTCGTAGTGTTTATTGCACAGGTAGTTACGAAGAGATAGGAACAGATGATAATCGGATGGTGCAAGGTCTGGTGATCACGGTGGGTGCGGAAGAACTTCCCATCCTAACTGTTCGATTTTTTGCTGAGTCAACTGTGCCACATGAGGTCGACTGTTGTCATGGAGAAGGATGTAGAAGAGGATATGTGTGTATGTATATGTATATATATAACGGTAATAGTATCATGTATTATAAAATACGCAATAGAAATGTTATTACGTAATAAGAACAGAAAAGATTAAGATCAATATGAATGTTTTTTGACCTTGAGAGAACAGAAAGTCATGTATAGTATTGAGATGAAAGAAGATGAAAGAACGAAAAAAATACACAGATAACAGAAAGAGAAGGAAAACAAACACATTCATGTATATAATTCGTAAGGAAGAATAAATCCTTAATAATATCAAAATAATCCAGAGACTGTTTTCTTTCGAAAGACGTACTATTCGATTCATCGTGAAA